ATAGGTTCCACTATTAAATCAGTTTTTGTTTTTATTTTATCTAAATTAATATTTTAGAAATGGTTTAGTTCGCAGATATTTTTTTTTTTAGATTTCAATATTTTAAAATTTTAAATTCTTTTTAGATTTTAAAATGTATAGCCTATTCATATCCTATATCTGCGGGTCTACTAAGCCAGGTCTCTAGCGAAAGTTTTTGAAAACATCTAACAAAAAAACACATGTACTCACACAAAACTTTGTTTCTGAAACATTTTCTGCACGCGAGCTGTAGACGGGCGTGTGTACACATGGCATGAAGAGAAAAAAAAACATTGTTTTAACAACAAAAATGTGTATAGAAACAAAGTTGTATGTGTTTTTGGTCAATGTTTTCAAAAAACATTTGCCGGTGACCCGGCATCGTGTAAATTTAATGAGTACGCTGTAGTGGTTATATTTCGTATGTTGTGTGTGTGTGTGTGTGTGTTTTGGAAAAACTAGTATTACTATTAAAGTCCGTACTGGCGAGTCGAGTTCCTCAATTCTAGGCCATCGAAGATGTTGAGATTGTGTTTTCTCGCGTATTCGTTGATGATCATCTTCCCTGTGAACAAACGACAAATGTTGCACGCTCGCATAGCAAAACACAAAAAAAAACGACGGGTTGTATTTCGGGAGTGTCGGCAGAAGTGAAAACTTGAATATTAACGTTGTGCATTTTTGATATTTTGGAATGGTTAAGGAATAATTTTGCACGAATTGCTTTAATTATAAGTATAAAAGTACTATCGTTTCTGTGGTAGAATAGAATATTTATTTATTGCGCTATCGTACACAAACATGACAATTTATATTACATTAAAAACTTTATCTCTCAGAAAAATCAACTTACATGAATCACATTTAAGCGCACCTAGCGACATCTATTGTAAAAAAAATGCATTTTCTTCGTAATAAAGCTGCCACCTGGACGTCCTAAATAGAGACTCATTATTATAATACGATAAAATAAAATATTACTATATTTCCTCCAACAACCTTTTCAATTTTATTGTTTTCGTCTTACGAATTTTCGATCAGGCCACGTGTCCTGACGCAAGTTTACCATTTTTTACCCATTACAAAAAAAGTGTACAACGCCGCTAAAGAAGTTTTCACTTCAAAAATAAGTAACAAGAGAAAACTGCATAAAAATTAGCACACCATAATTTGTTTCTAATTTCATAAACTAACAGCTAGTTGAGTAAATATGTGAAAAAAAATGCGTACCATAAAAGCGCCCATATACGATTCGATTACAATCGGTTCGCAACTACACGCAATGGAATGTTGTCGATGTCGTCGTCCGACCAACCATGGGAAATTGAATTTCTGTAATAATTATAATTCTGTCACTTTTTAAGCGAAAAGACATTGTGACACTTATGTATAACTAGTTTAAAATACATATATCAATAACAACGCTAATTGAAAATGTACTTTATAATAGTTTGACTTTTGAAACAAATAATCATTATTTAGATTTTTTATTACTCTATTTTACAGTGGAGAGCAGTGGTTTGTTTTTGTTTTAACCGATTTAATTTTAATACAAAGAAGACTGATATAATGCTTTGCAAAATCAAATCTTACTGCCTTTAAACTTACCTAATTTTATTGTTATTATATTTAGTCACTACAATACGCTTTTTTATAATATTGGAAATATTTTAATAGAATGTGAATATAAAAAAAAATAAGGGTTTTTCTACACCATAAGTACAGTCTGTGCGGAAAGAGAATGGGCGTGGCGAAAAACGGAACTAACATTAAGATTTTCATTTGGCAATCAAACCCAGCAATCTGTGAAACGTCAAGGTTATGTATTGATACGGATTTGTATGTTGTGATTTCTTGCGGTTTTTTGTATTCAATCATGTCTAAAAGGGGTAAAACCTTACAGATACGGTAGAAAAGCACTACAGCGCCCTCCAATCTAAATCGCATTCTCTTTCCGCACAGACTCTAGTAGCTTGATAAAACTACTTATTCATAAATAAAACAAGTTTTAACGGGTTATGCACTGATTTTATTTGTTTATTGACGTTTGGCATCCTTTGCAGGATGCGTCGTTTGAATCTATCCATCCATCCATGACATCCTGCAAAGACTGCGAAACGTCAATATATAAATAAAATCAGTTCATCTAACCCGTTGAAACTTGTTTTATTTAATGAGTAATGAGCGGGAAAACGTAAAATCAAAATCAAAAAATAAGAAGTAAGTAAGAAACAAATACTACTTATTTTTCCCTTCTAGATTAGTGATCTTGTCTCGAGTCCTGTTAGTTGCAAGAAGGTAACATGTCGTGTCGTACAAATAACGTTTGCTCAACTACGCCCAATTTATCGACAAATAATTGATAATGTCTGATTCATGAACGAATCAGTTTGTTTCTCTATATCTCTCCGTTTCGAGCTTTTAAATCTTTTACCTTTATTAAACGCTTCCCAGCCAAAAGATCTCAACTTGGGAGTGAGATTTAAGGAATATTTTGTCATTTTGTGAAATATTGAATGAAAAACAACATTTAACTATTTTTTTATTTTAAGCTGACCGACGAGCTTGTTGTATTTTGCATAAAACTATTTTTCCTGTTTATTTTTCATGTATTAAAATTGAATTTCAATAGAACAGTTTTAGTATTCCAAGAGTTGATCATTTTAATTTTAAAATAAATAAATCCCTGAATTACTATACAACAACGACAAAACAAATGATTCTGTTTTAATTTTTTTTATCCCCTTCTACAATTTTATATTGTTATTAACATTTTATTGAACTCATTAAGTACTTGTATCAGTGTTAACGTATTCAAAGATACTCGTACATTAGGAATTTGTGCAATTTACCTCGCAAACTAATCTCACTTTTCCGGTTGCGCAATTTCTTGTTCTAGCTCTTCTAATAGAACTACATTTTAGGAATAAACTTGAAAAATAACATACTCGTTAATTATGTGTTATAAATAATGACATTTCAATATAACATTTTTTTCCCCAGACGATTATGTGGTTTTACTTTAAAAGAATTGCAATTTACGTACAAAGCCTGTGATACGGAGAAGGAAGCAGACGGCATTGTCTTGAAAACACCGTCGTGTGATACCGTATAAATATATTTATTATAATACAAAAAATAGAAAATATTTTAACAATAATAATCAAAAGGCTATGGAACAGATGAAACGGAAATGCGTACCGAGCGTCACATGACTATATGTCTCTGTGTGTTTGTGTGATGCGTGCGTAGCTCTTCCAAACGAGCATGAAAGTTGAAGGGTAACTCGGCGAAGGCTGAAACGCCACGAGCGTCACACGCGAGATATATAAGAGTGATGCGTTCGCTGCTCCATTCTTTATGCACCGCCTAATGTTAGGTTATGTAAGAAAGGAGTTTTACTTCAGATGTGTGGTTCGTGAACACTAATTTTTTTTATATAATATTGAGACAATAAATGTGCACATTGTTTTTAGTTTATGACCAACAATTGTCAGGTAAGTAGGATAAGTACAAGAATCGAGATACAATCGACAACATTTCAAGTGTGAGCCATTTCGTAAATCATTTTCGACGTCGTCGTACACATGTTGTGTTAACTTCATAAGTTCTTTATTGCTCCCTTAATGGTTTGTTTGAATACTTTTATATGGCAGACAAAGGTTTTTAATTACAGCCTGAAAACTAAAGGTACATATGCAATTTTCTCTGTTGAATTAAAGGTATTTTGTTAAAAACAAAACATAGTACTTACACGTAATCTGGTCGGTAATTTTTAATTGGACATTGTTAAAAAAAGAGAATTGTAATTATATGTAATCAAGTTAACTTTTTAATTACACGTTGATGGCACGACGATTAATTTTGTGTCAAAATTCCTTTAACTATAAAATATGACAATTCGCCAAGTAGCAAATGCGCAGCTGAAATTTCCTCGTCTTTTCAATGACTTTCGATCAGTGTTCAACCACGGTAATATAGATAATATTACCGTGGTTCAACTTTGGTATTACTTTTTCTTAAGTAAAATTTTCTTTATATTTCTCTGAGAGGAAAATACAGTTATTAGTTTAAAATTATTAAATCTAAAGAAAAAAATACTAGAAAAGATTCAAAGAATTTAAACAAAAAATCCTATACCCAGCAGTTCAATGCTTTGGAAAAAATCTTTAAATACAATTATTTTGTCAATAAAACAAGTAGATATAAGCAGACACTACTAAAAAATATTCAGTAAACTTTATTGAATATAAAGGTGATTTGAATGGGAATTTGTACTAAGTTCTGAGAACCGTTAACTTAAAATACGATATTTTGTTCAATTATTCTAAAAAGTGATATAATTGCTTTTACCTTTTAATTGGCATTCGTAGATTTCTCTTAATAAAGTTTACCAAATTAAAAAAATAACTGCGGTTTGTGTGTTCAATTAAAGATAATATTAAACAATTCGCTTTGCTTGGGAGAATCAAAACATTGTGTAAAATACAAATATAAAAAAAAGAAAAACAGCAGTCTAAAAGAGTCTCCAACAATTTAGTATATATATCTTATATTTTAATTATAAAACTCGCGAAAAATCTATATAACGCAACACAATTATTTTAATCATAAAACTACTTATTGGGGTTTGTAGATAGCAATGTAAGTTTTAATTAGAAAAACATGTTAACTAAGTCTTTTTATTAATTTTTTATTTACAGGAGTAAATTAACCGGTACAATAGGAAATATACTTATTAGTAACATTGAATTCGATTACGAAATTTTACGTAACGCGTAAATTAATAAGAACGAATATAATTATAAATTATTAATGTTTCAATTATAATTTACTTATTGTTAACTCAAAACCTATTATGTTCCTCCGCTTGTTTCAAATATGCTTTAAAAAAAACTTTACGAGTAAACTATTCGAAGAACTTTCATTGGGGACTCTTTCTTCCTGAAAAAGCAGGTCCATAAAGTAAGATGACTCACCTTCGTCGATCTTCCTGGACGCCTCGTCCAGGTCGCTGCCCGCGTAGTTGAGGATCACCAGCACCAGAGGCATCATCTCCCACGAGTAGTGGAACTTCTCCAGCAGCTTGTGGCAGTTCTCCACCAAGGTCTCTAGTGACACGGCTGCGGACAAAACATAGTTATTAGTTTTTAAGGAACTATAATTGCTATTACTTGTTTCAAATGTACCATACTTGTAAAAGTATTTCTTTAACATTTTGAGTTAACTACAAGACGAAGAGATGACGCTGCCTTGTAGCCTTAGAAATACTAGAAGAAATTCGACACGGCCGTTTAGGTCGCGGTAGTATAATTTGTCAGTGCATCCGCCTGGATAGCGGAGAGTGCCGGTTCGAGTCCCGTCTGCTTCCTGGACCGCGTGGATTTTTTCTAGTACCTACCTAGGTAATTATTTCTAAAGTTATTAAAGGAGATTGCTCAAATTGGCCTAAATGCACAAAAAACATTGACATACACGGTAATTCTTGGCGTAATTTATAATTTAATTTACAGTCATTAGATTTCAATGGACACCTTTGTATAATATATTTAGTTTAAAAAGGACTTTTAATTTTACCGGTTTGGAAAACATACGAATCATTTTTAATGGCTATGGGTGTAGTAACATTCAGCCAAAGACTGATCGAAGTTGTTTATATAACATAAAAACAAATCTATTTTGTAAAGATCGATATTTTTTTTTATTACACTGTGGTATTAATATCCACAACTATATTATCATTTTCACTACATGCAAATGTGCTCAGACAATTATTATAGATGTTAGGCGACATCATAAAGTCTATTGCCATACATTTTTCGCCAAACACCTCCATAAACACATTATAATCTGTATATATGTTAGACTTTAAGGTATCTATCTATGGGCTTACGTTCCCTGACTATAAATTAATAAATAAATAAAATTATAAGGTCGGATACACTAAAAATCTAAAATATGGTTATCTTAAAAACATAACAAAAATAATGAAGCTACTGAATATATGGCTATAGAACCTAAATCTCTTAGCTTTCTTTGGTTAACGAGTGTTTAAAAATTCTCTCTAATCTGTGGCTCATTCACAATCATCACACAGTTTCTGTCACAGAGTACCTTATTATAACCGGAAATGATACTTGATTTTTAAAGTTACTCTTATGCATTAACTTTAAAAATAGGCAACTATCTGTTAATCTACATGCTCTATATACCTGAATCTAATCCATAATTTCGGTACTTGGATTGATTTCCCTAGTTTACTATATAACTTATTTGTTTTTTATTATTTTAATATGTTCAGTGTATATGGTTTATAGAAGTTCTCAGGGGTGTCCGTCAATAATATTCGTTTCTACAGTAATTTATATATAATTTCGAATCTAGGAAACAATTTTTCATGATTATTGGTCTTTAGGCCAAACATGTATGGAAGCTGAGCAATCTCATTTGTGATTTTGTAATTACAATACTACTACTACAAGGAGGTAGAAGTCGCAGATGGTTAGCTTTTTTTTGTCTGGGAAATGCCTTAGGCATCATTCAAACACCGAGGGTGCGAGAAAAGGTATGTCAGAAACCTCCCTGTTCATTTCACCCAGCCCATTACGCTTTATTATAATTATTATTATTATGAGGAGCTCGATGGCGCAAGTGGTTAGCGCGTTCGGCTGCGATCGTTGAAGTTAAGCAACTTTCGCAGTGGTCGGTCTTTGGATGGGTGACCAAAAATTTAATAACATGAGCTCCTCCGTGCTTCGGAAGGCACGTTTAGCCGTTGGTCCCGGCTGCATCTGCAGTCGTTAGCACCCACCAATCCGCACTGGGCCCGCGTGGTGGGTCATGGCCCAATCTCCCTATTCCATCCTTAGGAAAGGCCTGTGCCCCAGCAGTGGGGACATTAATAGGCTGATGATGATGATGATGATGATGATGATGATGATAATTATTATAATTATGTTTATTAGCTATTTAGCTATTTGTCATTTTGTTATAACAATACTGCTACTACAAAGAGTTCGAAGTCGCAGTTGGTTAGCACGTTCGCCCTTTTTTGTCTGGGAAATACCTTATGCCCTTTTTTGTCTGGGAAATGTATCATTCAACCACCGAAGAGCGAGAAAAGGTATGTCGGACTACTCCCTGCTCATTTCAGCCAGCCCTAGGACTCGGCGAAATGAACTCTAGTGTGGGTTACTAGGATAACGGATAGAATACATATACTGTACATATCTAAGTATATTTTTATAGAAATATATATTAAACATCCATGACTGGAGTACAAATGCTCATATTCATCACACAAACATCTACTCGATTCGGGATTCGAACCCGGGACCTCTCGAGCCGGCGACACCATGAAACACGGCGCACAAACCACTCGGCCACGGAGGTACAGTAGTATCATCATCATCATCAGCCTATTAATGTCCCCACTGCTGAAGCACAGGCCTTCCCAATGGATGGAACAGGGAGATTAGGCCATGACCCACCCCACGCGGGCCCAGTGCGGATTGGTGGATGCTAACGACTGCAGATGCAGCCGGGACCAACGGCTTAACGTGCCTTCCGAAGCACGGAGGAGCTCGAGATAATAAAATTTTTGGTCACCCATCCAATGACCGACCACTGCGAAAGTTGCTTAAGTTCAACGATCGCAGCCGAACGCGCTAACAACTTGCGCCATCTGGCTCCTCACAGTAATATACATGATTAATTTTCTCATTCACGTTTTAAAAGAGTCAAGTATCGCGCAGAATGCAATAGGGGTGATGACGGGGTACAGTAAACGAAATTCTATTTAGTCCGTTAGTTAGATGATCAAAAAATAATGGACACGTATTTTTTCTTTGGGCAATCAACCAAAAAATGACAAAGTTATAGTGCGTCAAAGTTTGGGAGTAGGGGCTCGTGAAGTCACTTTTGAGTGAATTTTCACTTATAAGTGTACTCAAACGTGACGTCATGCGACTTTTCAAATCAATATAGGTATCTCTACAATGTTTATATTATGTGAAAAAAGAAAAGTACGTGTCCAATACTTTTTGATAATCTACCTGATAAAAGAAGAAAATAAAATTAGTCATTATCCCTATTGTAATAGCTATACAAGCTACTCATTCGAATATGTTTTATTTATTAATGTTTACCATTCCAACGGCTCTGTTTCCACTAAGTACTTCTAAGTACTCGTCTAATAACACAGAGGAAGCATTATTTGTCACAATACTGTCAACAATACAACTCATAGCCGAGACTTAAAGTAAATAAACAGTTCTTACTAACTCAATCACAGTGAAACCCCAACGTTTACTTCTCGGAATTTTAATTTGAACTATGGGAATGAGGAGCTCGATGGCGCAAGTGGTTAGCGCGTTCGGCTGCGATCGTTGAACTTAAGCAACTTTCGCAGTGGTCGGTCATTGGATGGGTGACCAAAAATTACTATCTTGAGCTCCTCCGTGCTTCGGAAGGCACGTTAAGCCGTTGGTCCCGGCTGCATCTGCAGTCCGCACTGGGCCCGCGTGGTGGGTCATGGCCCAATCTTCCTATTCCATTCATAGGGAAGGCCTGTGCCCCAGCAGTGGGGACATTATTGGGCTGATGATGATGATGATGATATTACTGTACCTCCGTGGCCGAATGGTTTGTGCGCCGTGTTTCATGGTGTCGCCGACTCGAGAGGTCCCGGGTTCGAATCCCAGTGGGGGTAGATGTTTGTGTGATGAATACGAGCATTTGTACTCCAGTCATGGATGTTTAATATGTATTTCTATATTAATAAATTTTATATATGTACAGTATATGTACAGCAGTGGGGACATTATTAGGCTGATGATGATGGGAATGCACCGTCGAAAATATTACAATCACCTACTTTGAAACAAACGCGGATCGTTAATTAAAAAATGATAATTGCTTTTAATTGGTTGATCGTTCGTAATCTTAATACAATGGCAGACAACGATTAAGTCTGTCGTGTATGAAATCCAACCGAAAACTGTTCCAAGTCGAAATAAATAATTTTATAATTAAATTAGTTCATATATGGTTTGCTCATATTAAAAAAAACAGTCCGAGTGTAACAGTATATTTTCAAAGTGAAACTTTTTAACGCACGCTTGACTTGGGGAGTAAGCTGGCGATTCAGTTGTGTGGTCATAAGCACACTCGTTTTTTCACAGTAGGTATCTTAAAAACGTTGAATTATAGGAAACCAGTCGGTAATTTCTTTTACATTTTTTGCCATTGAATTTTTCTTTAGACATAAATATATCAAATACGATAAAAAAATGGGTGCGTGTACTTATGTAGGCGCGTGAGAAGTTATCCTTCTTTGGCATCTTTTAAAATTAGTTTTTAATTGCATGCAAATAATTAATTACAATAAATTAATAAAAAGTCTGGAAAAGGACACAGTCAATAAAGTTCAGTTTTAATTTGAAAAAATAAATAAATATAAAGAAAATATAACTAGAAAAAATTCCACGCGGACCAAGTCAAAATGAATACTTTTACAAGTATTCATTTTGACATTGTGGGTTACCTATAATGCGAAGAGATGGCGCTGCCTTGCAGCTTAAGAATAGCTAGAAGAATTTCGACGCGGTCCGTGAGGGCCGCGGTAGCATAATTGGTCAGTGCATTCGCCCGGATTGCGAAGGGTGCGGGTTCGAGTCCCGTCTGCTGCCTGGTCCGCGTGGAATTTTTTCTAGTTATATTTTCTTTAGATTTAAACATCAAGCAGTTACATGCTTTAAAAATAATAAAATTTATAACTATAATTGCTATTTCTTCTTTCAAATGTTTAATACTTGTAAAAGTATTCATTTTGACATTGTGGGTTACCTATAATGCGAAGAGATGGCGCTGCCTTGCAGCTTAAGAATAGCTAGAAGAATTTCGACGCGGTCCGTGAGGGCCGCGGTAGCATAATTGGTCAGTGCATTCGCCCGGATTGCGAAGGGTGCGGGTTCGAGTCCCGTCTGCTGCCTGGTCCGCGTGGAATTTTTTCTAGTTATATTTTCTTTAGATTTAAACATCAAGCAGTTACATGCTTTAAAAATAATAAAATTTATAAATAAATAAATAATCAAAATATTCAATTAAAATCGCTACTGAATAT